AAACTTCTTTGTATATTTTTTTTTTAGTTATTAATATTTTTATTTATATATGAAATATCGTTATCTTCTTATAAGTAACTAAAGCTTTTTATAACATTATTAGATTCTTAAAAGATAGAAAAAAGAAAAAAAATATATAGAAAAAAAAAATAAAAAAAATAAAAAAAAATACATTCTTCAAATCTTTTAATATAAAGTTATTCCTTAGAAAAATATTATTACATTATTTCAATTTAAGATTTAAGGAATTAATCAGCTTTAGATTCCTTCAAATTTAAATTTTTTCTTTTTATTTAAGGACTTCTTAAAATTATTAGTTTGAATTTGAATATTCTTTTAATAAGGAATTTTTTAAATTTTTTTTATTATTTTTCATCATTTTATATATCATTTTTAAAACTTTATTTTTTATTTAAATCTTCATTTATTAACCCTTTAATATCTTTTATATTATTAAATTAATTATCTAATCTATCTTTTATTTCAATATTAGATACTAAATTATTATCTATAGGAAATTATAAATGATTCATATATTATAAATTATTTGTAAAACACTAAAAATGATTATATAATAAATATTTTGACGTTAATAAGATACTATTTAATGTTTCTTTGAATAATTGCATATATTATATATCTTTTTCTTCATATAAACATGTTATTTCTTCAAATTATTAACACATTTCCTCAAAACCATAAATAAATTTATCTAAAATATTCTTTGATGTATTCACATATTGTCGATTAAGTTCAATTATTCCATTTTTAGGCACTGATAATTTAATATCAAATATTATTTGATCAGATAATTTTTACCATTTATTAAAAATTGCTTCTATTAAATTGATTTTATACATATGTTTATATTATTAATAGATTTTTTTTTTTAATTATTTTTATAATTATTCTTAAAGATAATCTAGTATTTTAAATTTTATTTTATTTTTATGGACAAAAATAATTAAAAAAATATACTTTTAAAAAAAGATATTTTAATTTTTAAAATTGTTTTAAAATAATTAAAATAAAATTAAATAAATATATTATAAAACGAAAAATTATAAAATGAAAGAATATTATGAATATATTAAAAAAAAAATTCATTATATTAAATTATATTTAATTAAATTAAATTAAAAATTAATAAATTAAATTAAATTTAATAAAAAAAATTCATATTTTTATTAAATCAAATTTTAATAAATTAATTAAAATTAGAATAGATCAAATTATATGAAACTAAATCATAATTTAAATTAAATTAAATTAAATTAAATTAAATTAAATTAAATATATAAAATTTAAATATTTATATTATTTTAATTTTTTTATTTATACAATTTTTATTTATTTTTATCATATTGTTTATATACATTTAAATATTAAAAATTTATAACAAATATAAAATTATTTTTAAAACATTAAATAAACTATTTATTTTAAATTTCCTATATATTTATACAAAAATATATTTTCTTTTTATTACTTTTTATTTATTAAGTATTTTTTTTTTTTTAAATTCAATATTGTAATTAATTCAATATCCAATGTTAAAGTTACTTTTTAATTTTATATATAATTAAAAAAACATTTTTTTTTTTTTATAATAAATATACATAAAATTAATTTTTTAATTCTTTTTATTATTAATCTAAAGACAATATATTTTATTAAGATTAATCTTTATTTTAAGATTCTATATTGCTTTATTATTCTTAGTTATAATATTCTTAATATTAGTTATAATTATTATGTTCTTATTACTTTATTTATTCTTACTATATATTTTAATAAATTTAAAAAGTTAAAATAATGCTTCCGTATATTGTTCCATACATATTCATATAAAAAATAGTAATAATAAATGTCATAAAAAGAACAAACTAAAAAATAAACAATTTATTTTTAATAAAAAATCATATTTTTACGACTGTCGGTGTTATTTTATTAAAAACATTATCATTATTTAAAATAATCATTAAAATATAAAAAATAAAAGAATTTATTAACGAAATTGTTAATGTTCCTTTGTTTTCAAATGTTTCACCACATTCTAATAAATTTTCAAATAGAATATTTTTATCAATTATTGACTTTTAAATTGATAATCCTCCTTATATGAAGCTTTATGATTCAAAAATAACCTTAATTTTATCAATATTATGTATAATTATTAATTTGTACTTTAATATATCCATATTTAGTTATCGATTTTGTATATTTTTAATGGAAGCTTGATATAGATTAAAGAATGCGATTTTTATTCCCTAAATTTATATTCTAATCATAATAAGTCTATTTATTAAAAAAAAATATTAATTTATATTTGAAATTAAAAATTATTACATCTATTTTTTCGAATAAAGTTCTGAAAGGATCAAAAAATAAAATTAATAAAGATGCTTTTTTTATTTTATTTTTTAATTTTTTTTTATATTATTATTTAATATTTTTATTTTTTATTTTTACATTTAAGTAATGTCCCGAATCTAAAAATAAATATTTCTTTTAAAATATATTATATAGTTATTAATTGAAATTATTTCCTCTCAAGTAAGAATAAACTAGAATAATATATTGTAATATATTCAGAAGCTTAAATTATAAAAGAAAATATCCATATAAAAACAAATGATATATATATCATATAAAAAATTTATAAAAAAGTAATCTCTGAATTTTAAAAAGGTTATGTTGAATCATCAAATACAATATCAGAATTAGAAATAATATTAATTTAAAATAAAAAAAAACTAAAAAATATCATAAAAAAAAAATTAGAAAAAATAGATAGATTCCTAAGAGCAAAAGTTTTATTTAAAATTTTTGGTAACTTACTTTTTTAATATATAAAAAAATATATACATATATATATATAAATATATATATTAATAAATATATATATTTATATTTATTTTTTTTATTATATATATTTATTTTATTTTTTTATTTTATAATTTATTATTTTTTATTAATATATTAATTAATAAATATTTTAAGATAATATATTATTTATCCATTTATTTTTATATTTATATTAAAAAATAATTACAGAAAAAAAATTAAAAATTATTATTAAGTAATTTTTATATATTTATATATATAATTATGTAAATTATTACATCAAGTATAAATAATTCCATGTAAATATCTGAATAACTTTGCAAAATTTCATAAACAGATACTAAAAAATAAGCAAAACAATAAAATGAAAAAATTAATTATAATAGCCACATGGAATTTTCATTATCAACACTTAATTTTATTATATTTTAAGATTCAGTTGTTTTAGTTATATCACTTTATATATTAATTTGTTTATATAATAAAATGATTTTGGTTACGGTTCCTTTATACTAGTTTGGCTACTAAATTTTTGAAATAAAATGAACCCAAAAAATAGGCTACCAATACTCGAACATATAAAAAATCCAATAAAAGTATATCTAACTTCAAATTATATTAAATATTTAATGAAATAGCTTAAAAAATAAAAATAAATTAAAAAATAATAAAAAATTAATAAAAATAATAAAAAATAATTAAAAACCCTATAAAAATTCCTAAAAAAGCAAAAATTAAGAAAAAATAAACATTTTATAATAAATCATTTATAATTAATTCTATTTTATTCATAATTACAGAATTTTTAATTAAATAATAATAATTTGTATTAGTAGGCATACATAGTCGATTAAAAAATATAACACTATCATAAATAATGATTTAATTTGATTTATCTAAACCTTTATTTTTATTTAATATTCCCATATTTAATTTACAATCTTTTACAATTGAATTAACTGCACATTTTAATTTACTATTTGGACTCGGTTGCCCTTATACTTATGGACATTCCTATACGCAAACATTTCTATATAAATAATCTTTATCTGGTGTTACAAAATATATATAAGGATATCGTTCAAGAGAACCTTTTCCACATTATCTTTAGTCAGGATCGTATGGATGTGATAATTTATCTGGATTTCCTTTTATCATTTAAAATATACCGATAGTTAAAGCTAATGATAATGTTATTACAAATGGAAATATCCAATTTGTATCTGTAGGTACTTTTGTATTGCTGTATTTAAATTATTTATTTAAATCATCCTATAAATTTTATTAACTTTATGTTTTATCAATCATACTATTATTTTATATGTTTTAAATATTTTTTATATTTAAATTTTATTTTTAAAATTTATAATTATATTTTTATTTTATTAATTTTTAATTTTTATTATTTTAAAAAAATATTTTCTTGAACAATATTATTTATTATAAAAAAATTAAAAATAATAAAATATTTAGTTAAAAAATAAAAATTAAATAAAAAATATTTTATTTTATTTGTTCGAAAATAAAACTTATTAATAATAAAAAAATATACATTTTATTTTATAATTCAAAACTCCTAAAATAATAAAAGAGAGGAGAATTTAATAAATATTGTAAAAACTAATATAAAATTAATGTAATTAATTACAACTAGTATCATCACAAAATAATATTAATAAAAAAGAAAATTAAAATTCCAAAAAAAACTCATTAAAGAAAAGTGTAAAATCAACTATTTAACTTATTGTCTAAATGTCATAAAAAAATATATTTAGTAAAATATTAATAAAACCTGTTATTAATAATACTAATTACACCTATTTTAAAATACTAAAAATAACTTTTATATTCACATTAAATATATATTATCAGATATAAAATGTATAAAATAGTTACCAAAAAAATATATGTGAAATAAATTTATTTCTTAATAAAATTTTTACAATATAAAATATACACATGTTTACATATATTTATTTTAATTATATATTTACATAATAGATACAAAATTAATAAATATATATTATATATTTATAATATAAAAGAATAAAATCTAAAAAGTAAGTAATCCACATAATAAATATAAAATGAAAAAATTAAAAAAAAAAAATATCATAAAAATAAAATAAAAATCAAGTCTAAAATTATTAAACAAGTTTAGAATTTTGCCATATTCCTTTAATACATAAACCCTAATGAATATAATAAGCACCTTCCCCGTGAACTTTTCCAGATTAAAAAATTCCAATAAATTTATCATTATTACAAAATATGAGTGTTCCATGTCCATGCATAACCCCATTTAAAAAGTTTCCAGTATAAAACTAACAAGAAGAAAATTCTTTTTCGGATAAATTTTTAAAATCAATATAATTTTAATAACAAACATTTTAATTTCTTAACCTTCCTTATCCATTATATAAATCATTTTGCCATTCTCCATTATAAATATCGATTCCAAACTCATCTTTAAGAATTCCATATCCATTTCTTTTTCCAGATTTCCATTCTCCTTCATAAATATAATTATTTGAATAATAACAGCAACCTGTTCCATGTCTCATTTTTCTTAAATATTCTCCTTCATATTTAATTATTATTAACTATTATTATTAAAAGCTAGTTTTTAAAGGCTTAATGTAACTATTTTTATCATTTATTTACTAATTATATGCTAATAATAGATTATTTAAGTCTATTTTTGTTTCATTTCTCTATTATTTTTATTATTATATTTATTTTTATTTAGGACTTGTATTAGTTGTTTGTGCTCTTTTTTCAAGCATTCTACTTATAACCTCTATTTGTTTTTAATTATTATAGATTTCTGCTTATTTCTTTTTTCCTAATAAATCTCTTTTGTGTTCTTAAAAGAAAGACTTTGGTTCAGCAGATTATCGATAAAAATCAGAGTTTAAGATTGGCTTTTTTTCTTTTTCTTCTTCTTGGAAATTTTCAATTGTTTATTTACTTTTATTTGCTGTTCTTTGGAGATTTTTATCATAAGTTTCTTAAAGTTTCGCGTTTTTCAAAGTATATAATAAACTTTCATTTTTATGAAGTAAATTTTTACTTCTCTATATACAATTAATGTACAATTAATCTAAAGTATTTTAGTCATTAATTTAACTCTAAAAACTATTTTATAAGCTAGAAATACTAGGGTTTTATTCAATTTTATTGCTAAGAGTTTAATTTATTACTAGATTTTATTAATTTCCTAAAATATCAAGGCTATATTAACCTTTTTTACGAAATTATGTTTAGTATTAATTATTAGAAAATTTCTAAGGTCTTTTTTTTTGAGCAGAGGATACTTTTTTATGAAAATCTTATTTTTTTTAAATAACTATATTTTATAATTATTATTCAATATTTTATTAGTTATTATTTATTTGTTATTCAGGGATTTCTTATTTTTAAATTTCATTAAAAAAAAGTATTTTTTACTAAAGTTAATTTATTTTATTTTTTATATCTAATTGTTATTCAGGCTGGCTTTATTTTTATGCATTAATATTTAAATAAGGTAGTTAATTTTAAATAAAGGTATCTTATTATTAAATTAATAAATCAAGATCTTAAACAATATTAGAATTTTGGCTTTTTAATACTTTATTCTCATCATTTATTTTTTTATTGATTTTTTTTAAATCATTTATTTCTTTCTCAGCTTTTTCTTATTTTTCTTTCCATTTTTTATTTAGAACTTCTTTTTTTTCGATTATTTCTTTTTACGTTTATTCAATAATTTCACACTTTTTTCTTAACATTTCGTTCTATTGTTTATACTATTCTAATATTTTATTTTCTAATTGTAGTTCTTCAATTTTTTATTCTAATTCTTATATAATTATTTTATTATTATGATTTAAAAATCGTTCCATTTCTTTTTTTGTTCTAATGTTTTTTATTCTAACTCTTTAATTAAATCTTCTAATATTTTTTCTTTTTCTTAATTCTTTTTATCTTTTATTTATAGTTTTTGATTATATTATTCGATTTAATTTTATTAATTTTCTATTTACATTTATAACTTTTTCAATTACTAATCTTTTATTTAACTTAATTAATTTTCAAATTTTAATTCTTTAAATTATGTATTTTCTTCTTAATATTATTCTGTTAATTATTTTTAGTTTTTAATCTAAAGTTGTAATAGTTTTATTTGATTTTGTAATATTATTACTGTCTAAGATTATTATTGTTCTTCTTTTATATCTTTTTATACATTTTGAACTTTATTGTTTTGCTATTATTTCTATAGTTAGCTTTTTAAATATATAATTTCTTCACTTAGTTATTATATTTTTTATTCATATTTTTCAATAGATAATTGTTTTTGATTATAATTATTTTATTAATTATCTTCTGCTAAATTTAGTATTTTTTCTTAATATTTTTATAAAGGATTTATATTAAAATCTTCATCTTCTTAAATAAATTTTATTTCTTATTCATAAAATTTTTTATATTTTTCTAAATTTTAAATATATTTTTATTATTCTTCTTTTTCTTTTATTAAATTTTTGAATTATTTTTCTATATTTTTAATCGTTTATTTATAAACTTTTTTTCGTTTTAAAATTAATTGTCTTTATCTTCCATTTATTAATTTATTTGATGATTTGCATCCTCAATATTTTATATATTATTATTATTTAATTAATCATTAATGTTTATTCCTTATAATTCTTTTATTTATAATTATATATATTATTTATATTATTCATATTCATTTAATATATTTTCATATAAGCTTTTATAATCTTTGTCTTTATCAATTTATTAATTATTACTTTATAATTATTTTATTATTTATTTTAATTATTCATTTTCTTTAATTGCATTCTTTTAAAAAAAATTTAAACAATTTCTTTTATTAAATTTTTACTTTAAATTATTTTTCAAAAGTCTTAAATATGGAAGAATCATCTTCAGCTTTTTCTTGCAAAGCAAAATTCAATTATTTTTATAAATTTTCGTCTTTTACTTCATTTTTATTTAATTCTTCTTTTAATTTCAAATTTTCATTTCTTTACATTTTACAAAAAAAGAAAAAAAAAAAAAAAAAAAATTAAAAAATAAATAATTAATACTTATATTCATCTCTTTCTTTTACAGTCTTTTTGAATTATTTTTCAATATTTTTATAAGAACTTTTAATTCCTTTAACTTCACTTTCAACAATTATTTTTTCCTTATTAATTAATTCGATTTCTTCCAAAAGTTTCTTCATTTCCTATTCAGAATTCGGATTTTTTTCTTTATTTAATCCCTATTAAATTACATCTTCTTTTATATTATCGAATTTGTTTTAAATATTTAAATATTCATATTTTAATTCTCCTAATTGTTCTTGTATTTAATTTTTTTCAAAATTTAACTACTCGATTTAATCTTAATATTAAGATTGTAATTTCTTGTTTATTATTTAGTTATTAAAATCACCTTCATTTTCTTAATTTTTCAATTAATTTAAATTATTTTAAAGTTATTATATTTATTAATCTTTTTCATTTTATTCTTGCTCTTATAATTATTTTTCTTTTAAAAGCTAATCTCTTTCTGCTATAGTTTTCTTTGTTTATTTTTTATATAAATAAATAAAATAATAATAATTGTTTATTCTCATATATTTTTTATAAATTTTTACTTTAAATTATTTTTAAAATGATTTAAAAGTAGATTAAAATTCAGAATTTTCTTATTAAATTTTTTATTTTTATTTTTCTATTTCTTCTTTTTCAAATAAAATATCTTTCAATTGTTTTAATATTTCTTCTTTTTCAGATTCTAAAACTTATTTTTCTTCAATTAATTAAGATTTTTATAATTAACCATCGAAAATTTAACTTAATTTATTCATTTCAGATTCTTATTTTAATTAATTCAATTATTATTATAAATCATTATATTTCTTTTATAATTCTTAATATTCTTTTTGTATTTATTGATAAGTACTTGTTATATTAGGATCTAATATTCCAGAGTTGACTTATTCTATTTATAATTATAAATTATCTTTTTCTTTAAGGGTTTTCTATTTATTTTATTTAAAAATAAAATAATAATTAAAATTAATATAAAAAGAAAAAAAATACCTTTAGTTGTTTCTCAATATTTTTATATGTTTGTTTAAAAGAAATATTTTCATCTGAAATTTATTATTTTTATTATTCAATTTGTTGATTAATTTGTATTTATTATTCCAATTTGTTTTGAAGTTCTAATATTTATTAAAAAACTTAAGATTTTGCATCAAAATTTTAAATTAAAATTGATTCAGAATATTCTAAATCAATTTTATTTTAACTGCAAATTTAATTGTTTGAAGATAATTAAAATTCAATATCAAAATAAGATTTTGAAATTTATTAATATTTCTCTTCATACTCTTATTTTTCTTTTTATAAAGTATCCAATTATTGAGAATATTGATAAATTAAGCTTTCCAATTCAATTAACTTTTTTTATTATTCAACTGCATGTGTTTATTATTATTTTAATAAATCTCTTTCTTTAACAGCACTATATATATATATATATATATATATATATATATATATATATATATATTTATATATTTTTAAATATACTCTTTAAACTATTTTTCTACTGCTTTGTATGTTTATTTAAAACTATTATTTTCACAAATAAGTGATTCATTTTATAATTTAAGTTATTCTTTTTATTATTCTATTGTAATTAATTATTAAAATATTTGCTCTTTTTCATTTTCTGCCTTATTTTTTTCATCTAGTAGAAAGGATTTTGCCTAAATAATATTTATTTTCCAATTTTCTTATTATTATATCTATTATTCTTCAAATTCTTATTCTAAATTTCCAGCATTATTAATAAAGCTATTTTAATTGTAATTATTATCTTCACATTTTAAAATTAATTCTTCATTTTATACTTTCAAATTAGCAATTTCCTAATTTAAATCTAGAATTTAATTCTACATTTATTATATTATATCTTAACTTTTATCTAATTTTTCTATTTATTGTAAAAAATTATTATTTACAATTTCTAATTCTAGTTTTTTTCTAATTTTATATTTGCTTCATTAAATACTTAAATACTTTTTTTTTTTTTTTTTTTTTTTTCAAAAAATAAAATAAAAATAAAAATCAACTTTTAAAATATAGAATTAATTACGATTTTTTTAAATTATTATTTTAATTTAAAAGTGCTTTATTTTATTTTTAAAGTTTATTTAAATTTTAAAGTAGATTATTTCTTTCTTAAAAATTTTAATTTAATAACTCTTCATTATCAATATTAATTAAATTTTTATTCTTTTAAAATAATAATGTCAATTCATGAATCTTAGCTTCTTAAATTTCAAATTTATCATTTTTTAATTAAGTGTTTGATATTATTCATTTAAATTTTACAAAGAAATCTACAAATGTTTGTTTTCTAATTCTAATTTTTATATTTTGTCTATATATTCTTCATTATCTTCAATTTGATTACAAGAATTAATATTATTTTTACTAATTTATTAAATTTATATTTAATTTTCTTCCAATTATTATTTTTTCGCTGTTATTTCATTTATACAACATAAATTATCAAGATAATTAGATGAAAACTATTTTTAATTTTATTAGAATATTTATATAGTTTTTTCTACTAAATATTATGCTTTTATTATTTATTCTTATATACTCTATTTAATTTATTTATTTAGTATATATATATATATTTTAATTAAAATATTATATATATATATATATATATCAAAACTAATTTTTTTCTTACATAATTAACGTTATTAAGTTTTTTTTTATAAAAATACTAGAAATCATCCTTTTATAAAATAATTGTTTAATATAAAATATTGAAATCTTCGTTTAAATATAAAGAATCTATAATATTTTGATCTATATTTATAAATGTTTTAGTTATATATGTTAGAAGTTCATTAAATTACAAAATTAGCAATTCTTCATTTATTTTAGATATATTTAACTATATTTTCGTGGTGTTTAATATTTATTTTAGCTCTTCTAATTTACTATGCGAATTATATTTTGATTAACACTATCTTTTATTTTGAAATTAATTTTATTTTTTTACTAATCCTCCTTCATCTTCACTTTCACTTTCGGTATCACTTGGGTTTATATGTGATGTAAATATCCCTTTTTGGAATTTACTTGATGTTGTTTGTACAAAATCGAGAGGATTTTTCATCCCTTTTTAAGGAATTATTATCGTTTATGGTTTATGATCTTCTTGTTCTTACTCACTCATTTATATTAATAATTTTTTTTATTTTATTTTTTTTAATTTTTATTTTAAATTTTGTATATTTTTTTTTTTATTTTTTTATTTTTCTTTTAAGTTTATTTATTAATATAAATAATTTTTATTTTATTTTTTTAATGTTAATATTTAAATGTTTAAAAAATTTACATTTTTTTATTTATTTTTTATTGTTTTTATTTTTCGATTTTTTTATTAATAATACATTTTTTTTTTTATTTTAACAAATATATAAATAATTATTCTTTTTATTTATTTTTATTACTTTCTAAATTTTAGTTAATAAAAAACACTCTAAAAATTAACATAATTGTAAAAAATATGAAATTAAATTAAATAATATAATATAATATTATTATTTTATTTAATAAAACAAAAAAAGAATTCTTTATATAACAAAAATTAAATGATTTATTAATAAGTTACCAACATTTGCTTTTTTTGCCATCAAAACTGTTTTAATTTTCCTGATTTAAATGATTATAAATTATGCATTTGTAAAGACTCTCCATTAATTTGTACTTATTGTTGCATGCAAAGTATTTTAATAAAAAAATTATATATATTTGTTTTATTTATCTTAAAAGAATAATAAATATTTTGTTGTGAATGCGGAAGACACTTTAACAAGGAAATACTTGTATTAAAAGGAAACTATTTAAAAAATAAAGAAATATAATATAAAGGTTAAATAATTTTATTCAATATTTTAGAAAATAAAAATTTGAGTAATAATAAAATAATAAATAATAATAACATATTAAATAATAATTAAAAAACAGAAGGTAAAAAATTATAATGTATATTTATATAAATAAAATATATAAACTAGAATCTTAACAACTAATGGAAATTTTTCCTTCTTTAAATCAGGATTCATTTTAAGTTTAAAATCAAAAAAATGATAATTACATAATACCAGAGTAAACATATTTTGAAAATAATAGTTAAAATTTGATCAATTAATAATTTTAATAGATTTTTAATAATAATAACATTTAAAATTAATAAATAGAAGACATAAATAATATTTAAAATTATAATAAATAGTAAGACTTTTATAATAATTAATATTAAGTTTATTATAATTGTAATAATAATTAATATTAAAAGGATAATAAATAAAATAATTAAATATTTTAAGATAGTAAATTAAATCAACATTAATAAAATTAATAACTTTACTATCAAAATAATTAAAATTAAGACAATAATAATGAGTAAAGTTGTAACCTTTATTACAATAATGAAAAAGAAAATATAATGAATAATAATAATAATTATACTTTTAAAAAAGATTAAAATTATTAATGTAAATAATATATTTTAATAAAATAAAATTTATATTTATATATAATTAAAAAAAAGATAATCTATTTACCCATTTTTAAAAAGATTAAATAGAATATAAATAATAACTTAATTAATAAATTTATCCGTCTGAAAATAAAAAAAATAAAATTAACACTTTTCATTAAAGGTAAAGAAGTAAAAGTTAGCTGAGCTAATATGAGAAATATTAATAAAGCTTTAATTAATTATAATAAAGAATATATGGACAAATTTAAAATAATTTCTTTTAAAATTGATTAATAAAATAAGATTTATTTTATTTTATGCCATTTTTTAAAAAATATGTTAATATTAAAATAATTATATTTCTTTAGACTTTTTATTATTAATATATATTAATATCCTATTTATGTATATATTAAATTATGTAATTATTATTAATAAATATATTTAATAATTAAATTGTTACTAATACTTTTATATTTAAATAATAAAATTATGAATTTTAACTATTAGATAAATAAACATTAAAAAATATTAATACGTCACTAAATATAAACATATTCTTACTTTCATTTAATATCTAAACTATTCTATTTAGGGAAAATTCTTAGTACTTGATAATACTTATAGACTATTAATTTTATAAATTTGTCTTTTCAGATAAAAATTTATAAGAAACATTAAAAAAATAAAATAAAAAAATTATAAATTAACCCCTTAATAAAAATATGAATAATTTATGAAAGAAACATGTGTTCTAATTATACTAATACCTGGTTAATTAGACACAATCTTTTTAAAAAGTAAGAATAAATAGCAAGGCATTAAAATGTTAAATAATTATTTAATATTTAATTTAAAAACTGTAGTTAGGGTACAAGTTCTCATTTTATATTTTTCAATAAAAAGCATCACAATATAAATTATGGGTTTCAGATGTATTTTCTTCTACTAAAATAACTAAATTTTACACAAAACACGAAATATTTTGAAGACCTATTATCTCTAGAAGAATAATGCTTGCAGAGCATCTTCTATTTAGGATTTAACCAAATACATTCTTTTGTAATAAACTTATTGCTCACTATGCGTTATTAATCAGGAGTCTCTTTTTTAAGATATTTTATATGACGATATTCTGATAAAATAAATTAGACGATAAAAATAAAATTCGAAAAAATATTTAACTTACTTTTCCATTCATCAACAGAAAAAAAATCATATATTTAGAAACTTTATTTATTTAACAAGAAAAAGATGAAATTTTTTAATAATATATAGTCGCAATACTCCACCGCTTTTGGGTACGCTGAAAAGTCTTATGTCATTATTAAAAGTGGAGATATCCTGATTATTTAGATGTGTTAGGATTTAATGTAGGTTTATTCAAATTTTTATTCTTAATATATGCTTGCATAAATTTTTGAGAGGGGTATATGATATTATTCTAAGAAATACATTTGAATAATTTAAATAAATTAAATATTTAAAGGTGAAAAATGCTTTGAGGAAATAAAAGAAATAATCAAACACGTAAAAGAAGTAATAAAAAAATTATGGATTACCTTCTAAAAATTAAAATATGCTATCCTAGCGGGAAATTATGATTAATTAATTAAGACAAAGAAAAAATCGTTAAAATTGAAAAAAATTTGACCTAACTCTATTTTTAAATGTCTTTAAGATTTTTTTTAATTTTAATAGATATAAATACAATAGTAATTTAAAAGCAAAAAATATTGATTTTTTGATAAACCACAGGAAGTTCATTTTTTACGAAAAAAAAATAAAATTTACTTTTTCTATAACAATATATTTTATTTTCCTGATATTATTGAATATAGTAAAGCAGATAGTTAAGTTTCTTCTTATCCACCTATATTACATTTTTATAAATGGTCTTATTTAAATATACATATATTCTATATATTTATAGTAATAGTTTTTATGTCTTTTTATTTTTTTCTTGTAATTTTTTTAAAAACTGAATCAATATAAAAAAATCAAGTAAAAAATGGATAATAGTCTTTTTTTAAAAAAACTAAATCAATAAATAAAAAAAAATCAAGTAAAAAATGGAAAATAGTCTTTTTTTTGTTTAATTAAGTATTTTAAAAAATATTACGAAAAAAATTAAATCAAGTATATATAAATAAATATACAAAAAATAGGGATATAATAGTTAATTAAAAAAAGAAATATACAAACTAATAAAAATAGTAGAATATTGATCTCATTGTAATAAAAATGAGCCTTTTTATACATAATAATATAATAATTTTAATCATAAAATTTAAATTCTTATAATAAAAATGGTTATATTAGCTTAAAATGTTTTTTACATGTAAAAATATGGAAAAAAGCACATTCATATTTCATAAATGATAAATTTTTTCTTTCTTTTGTAACTTAAATATTCAATACTATTAAAATGTTAAAATAAATGAAAAAAAAACGGTTATATGTAAATATATAATAAATAATTAATAGAATATCCCAGTTTTTTTAAAATGAATACAAAAAATTCAAAAATTAATATTATTTTTTTTTTCTTCATTATTTTCTGAATATTTATATGTTGCTTTTGTTACTACTTTCGTAAAATCATTACTTAAATAATTATTTTTGCTTTTTTATATTAAATCATCGTCTTATATAATTTCTTTATGTTCTTCTTTTTCTTATTTTTTTATATTAAAATGACCTCCTCTATTTTTTTAAGATTCTATAAGACTTGATTGATAAACTAATAAGGCTAACAAATCATTATATTTAGTTTAAATTTATTTATTTTAAGTTTTGAGCTTCTAAATTTTTTCATATTTATCACTATCGATATTTTTTTCTAATTCAAAAAATTTCCTTTGCCATTCGAAAATTTCTCTTTCTCGAATCTATAGTAGGGAATTGAGATTTTCTATATCTAAACTAAACTAGTTTTAATTTTTTTTACATGATTCGATTACTGTTTCCAATTCAATAACTATTTCTTATAATTTTAAATTATCTTTTATTAATTATTATTTCTCTTCTTCAGTTTTATTTAATTTCCTTTATAAATCTTCAAATGCTAAATCACTTTAAGACTTTTAAAAAACATTTCTTTTTATTTTATTATCATCATTTTCTTAAAAATTTACTGTTTAATCTTAAAAATTTGCTTTTTAATCTTTAAAATTCACTATTTAATCTTGAAAATTCACTTTTTTATTTTCTTATTAATACCCATTTTTTTTTCTCAATTTTTTTTTTTTTTCTTAACAATCATCTTCATTTCTATCTATTAATGAATAATTTTTTTATTATCCATTATTATCTTATTATTAATTAATATTTTATTTTTATATTGTTTATTAAATTGGTATTTATTATAATACTTTTATGGTATTTAACGGGCTTTAACAGTAAGTTGGTTGAATTTAAATTCTTTAAGGAGTTGTGTATACCTTTTATTGTTATTATTATTAAATTATTATATTTTATTATTATTAAATCTATCCTTATTAATTAATTATTTAAGGCTATTATATATATTGATTTGACAAATTAAATACGCTTTAGTTAGAGGGAGTTTACAATATAGAGTTTTAAGGTGTTAGAAAATGCTCGATGTATTTAGTTTAATGAAGTACATATTTAGGAACCCGGGGAGTTTCTGCTTAACTTTGTGACACTCGATATTATATTGGCGATTATAAATTATTTTAAATGCCTTATTATTTATTTTATTGGGTATTTCGTCGTATTGATTAGTAATATTATTGCATATTTATAAATTTTTTATTAAATTTATTAATTGAATTTATATTTTAACTTTTTTTTTTTTTTTTTTTTCGTTTTATTTATTTAATTAAATAAATATTATAATATAGAATATAAAAAAAGCAAACAATAAATAATAATTTATAAAATTTAATGTTTTATTGAATTAATTAAGTTGAAAATAAAATTAAAATTAAATTGTTAAAATTAATTGATAAATGTAAAATTACATAAACACGTAATTAAAAATCAATTAGAAAAAAAAAAAAGATATAAATTCATAGTTAATAAAATATTTTAAATAAATAAATAAATAAAAAATAAAAAACATGGGTTTAAACATTGAAGATCATATAGAAGAAATATTAGAAGTAATAAAGTTACACACACTACCTTTAATATTGATATTTTTTGCTATAATAAGTAAAAAGAAAGTTTAACATACAGCTTACGAAAACTTTTCTTTTTATTGGTTTTTATTTAATGGAGCAATAATACACATTACATGGAATGGATTTGTTGGAGGTCTACATTAATGTGAGCCATTTTTAAGAGCTTATTAAATGATGGATATGCGTTTTAAAAATAAGTCGAATATGGTTAGAACTATCTCCTTAACTGAATTATTCTTACATGGACCACTTTGCTTATATACAGCTAATTTATTTTTATCTTAGAGAGGTATCAAAAGAGATTTATTCTCACTTTTATCATCATTTTTGTAATTAATTGGAACTATTTTCTTTGTTTATGATGAATATTTGAATAACTTTGTTAATGTTTGCTAAGCTGAAGGAGGATGTTTTGATTTTGGTATTAAAAATGTATTATTATTTTGGGTTTTATTTGTTTTTATTAACCCACTTTTGATGCTTTTAGCTTTTATTCATATGTATAAGGCTATTAATAATATTTTAGCTTAAGAAAGATGGAAATATGAAAATTGTGCTATTGAAAATGGATATGGTGGAAACTATTATGATAATTTTATTTAAGATGAAAAACCGCAATAATTTGGAAAAAAAAAATAAAAAAAAGATTGATAATTATTTTAATTTTTTATATTTCTTTATTTTATAAATATTTTTAAATCTTTTTTAATTTTATTTTTTAATAAGTTATGTCATAATTTGTGAAAATAATTTAAACATATTTTTTTTTTTGTTAATGTAATCCCTCACTTATCTAATATTTTTTATTTCAGAGAAAAAAAAAAAAAAAAAAAATTGCATTTAAACACACACCTTTATCAATTAAAAAATACACTTTTAATAAAAGAAAATTCATTTTTTATTTAAATTTATGTAAAATAAAATAATATTTATTATATAATTATTTGTATAAGCATTTATTTGAGTTTAAAATGATTATTATATATTTAATTATTTTATTTATTTAATAAAATTACTTAATAACTTTTTTTTTTTAAATCATCAAGATAAAGGTAAGTCTTTTGATTATTTATTTTTTTCTTAACTTTATTTTAAATTATTAATTTTAATTATTTTATAAACGTAATACATACCAGGAATACAGCAAACTATTCCAATAAACCAAAATCCACTTCCTTTATTAAAATCTATATATTTTCCTTAAAAAGAGACAATAAATCCAGCAATAAAAAGCATTATACCAGTAGTACTTAAAAGGTATGATATGAATTTTAAAAATTTTGAAATTTCAATTTAATTTTATAAATCAATATTTTATTATTATTGGTCTTCTTATTTAAAAAATTCATTTTCTAAAATTTCTAAATTTTTCTATTAAACAAATCCTAAATTTTATGACTTCTAGTTATTTTAATTAATTTTAAATTTTTTATTATATACTTCATTACTTATATCTAATTTTTAATCTTTTTTAATTTATTGTGATTAAATATGTTATTTATTAATTTATTTTTCATTTATTAATTTAATTAATTACTCTTACTTTTATAATTCCTTTAATTCCTAACTATTTTTTTAAATTTATGATGTTTTACTATATATTTATCCAGGTGTTTCTTTTTAACAGTTTTTATTTTAGTTTTATTGAAAAATATTCATTATATTAAAAATTTATTTAAATTACTATTTAATTACTATTATTTAATTTTATAAAAAAACATAAAATAAAATACAATAGTATATAGTTGCATCGAAATATTTAATATATTATAAAAAAATATAAAGTTGTCGGCCTATATTTATCTAAAATTTACAAAATATATTTTTTTTAGTTTTTATAATTTAAAAATATAAAAAAAATAAATACTTTAAACATTATTTAAAATTTAAAAAAAAAAAATTATTAAAAATTAGGTTCATAAGATCAATAAAAAACTAAGAAAAAATAAATAAATATATATATATATATATATATATATTAAAAAAAAAAATTGAATTAAAAAAATATTATATGAATCAAACACTTCAAAACAAACCATAAAATTTCAAAAGATTTCAATAAAATAATTAAAACTTAATAAACTTACAAAACCTTGACATAAGTGGAATAAGTTAACGCCCAACAAAATCAAATAGATCAATATTAAATAAAGCAGATGAAGCAGCAAACAAATATGAAATTGCAATACCAGAATCTGATATAACAAATACTATATATAGTGTTTTAAAATAATAAAAAAAAAGCCAGTATGTATCAGAAATTCATTCAAGAGCCAATTTTTCCTATTTAAATATGAATAGTAAATTCAATGAAAATATAAATCGAATATAATATACAAAAACATAAAATTAAGCATTAGACTTTTACAAAATGGAAGACATATTTATAGAGAGTTAACCAATATAAGAGTCAATGATAAATTATGTAAAAATATAAAGCGAAAATGCCCAAAATTTAGATAAAAAAGTTAAGTTTTTACTAGAAGAAAATATTGAGTTAAAAAAAATAATATAAATCTAATAATAAAAATTGGAAATGTAAACAAATAATATGTTCTTTTATATTCGATAATTAAGAAACGCTTTATTATAAACTAATTTATATATTTTAGACGAAAAAATATTATAAACATAGTTTAAATAATTAATAAAGGAAACTAAAATATATGAATTTTAATATAGTGAATAATATTAAAATTTTCTGCAATAAATAAATAATTTTTTATTAAAATAAAATACTAATATTGAAAATATTGTATTAGAAAATGAGTCTATATTAAATTTAATAAATATAAATGAAAAAAAAGTAAATGATAGCAATTCTAAAGAATTGAACGAACTTGACAAGTTTAAAATAAATGATTAAATTTATAGAAAATTAATAGAAAGTCTTTAATAAAAATCAGAAGACTATGAGAAACATCTACAAAGTTCAATATTGAGCTAAAACAATCCAGAATCTTTGAAAAACAATATAAAAAGAGTTCTTGAAATGCACAAAAAGCTTGAATTTTATTAATAATAGAATGAAATTTTAGAAAAAAAGAACGAAATGTTATAAATGGAAATAAAAAATTTAATAAACGAAAATAAATAATTGAATATAAGTACAACTAAAACAGTTTAATAATTAGAAAAAATATACGAAAAAGCTAATCTTTCAAAGTCTAACATAAATATGTTAATAAACTAGAATTTATAAGAAACAATATTATTTGATTTTGATTAAAACTAATAAAAAATGTAATCAGAAATAATAAAAATAGACTAAAATTATTAAATTTTGAAACTTTAAAAATTAATAGAAGATGCTAATTAAACAATCGAAAGTTTAGAAAAATAACTAATGAATGAATAGACAAAATAAAAAAATCAAAACAATTGTAGTTTTAATTTATAAGATTAATAATAATTAAATAATGTTATTTAATAACTCTCCCTTATTCTTTTATCTAAAGATTAATAATAGGTTTTAAGTTATAAAGATTAATAAGTTATTAAAAGTATGTTTTCAGATAAATTCAATAATGTAATTTTTTTTTATTTTTTTTGTTTATATTAAATAAATGATAAAATTTATAAATAAAAATTAAATATTATTAAAAAAGATAATATAACAATACGAAAAAAATATAGAGGACTAAAATTTAGAAATATAATAATAAAAAGAAATCATAAATGAATAAAAAATATAATTAAATAATTATTATAGTATATCTAAATATACTATTGAAATATTATTAGATTTTTAAAATAATTAAGATTAGCAATAAATTATTAAAATAATTAATAGATACAAGAAATAAATATAAAAGTTCCATGAAATAATAAAATAGGATAACGAAGATTACACTTCTCAACCCTTATTTTCATTTTAAAATCTAAAAAATAACTAATCTGATATTTATTCAGAAAAGGAAGGTTATTTAAATGTTAATTCTTCTATACATAGTATAGGAGGAGATAATAAAAAACAGTAATCTTTTTCATATTTGTAGTCCGAATAATAATTTTAAAATACAAACAATAATGATAATTAGGAACAAAAGACAAAATTAGAAATAAAACAAGAAGAAATATAAAAAGATGATAATGAAGAATAAAAAAAATATGAAGAATTATAATAAAAATATGAAAATTTAGAAGAAAAATATACCAGTTTAAATCAAAATTTAACTAAATAACTAGAAGCCTTTTGTGTAAAAAATATTTTTACATCAGCTGCAGTAAATAATCACTTAATTGATGACAAAGCCTCTGAAGATTTTCTTTTAACTTTATACATTTAAGCAATTACAATAGAAGAAATGATAAAGCAAGCATAAGATAACAATAATGAAGAAGAAGAAGAAAAATAAGAAGAAGAAAATAATTATGTTGATAAAAAAGAAAATAAGAAAATCTAAAATAGTATAATTGAAGAAAAGCCAGCTGAAGAAGATGAAGAAAGCTTCAAAAAAAGCATTTCAAGAAGTCTTTAAAGTTCGGTTTAAAATTTCGATAATAATAATTAATAAAATTTATAATAATAACTTATTGATAAAAGAACTAGTTAAGAGTAACATTAATAGTTTAATAATTAAAAGCTTATATAGGAATAATAATAATAGCTTATAGATAAAAAACCTTCATTGGATTAATAATAATTAGATGATTAGAAACTAAAGTAAGAGTAATTTTAATAATAATTTGATAAAAAAACTTCTTTAGACTAATAATAAATAATTGAAAAAAAATCGCTTCAAGTATAATAATAATAAGTATTAGAAAAAAAACATTAACAATAATAATAGACAGTAGAAAAAAAAACATAATTTCAGGAATAATAAGAATAAATATAATAATAATAATAAATAACTTAAGAAAAAAATAATCGTAATAAGAATTCATTTTTAGACGAAAAACATTAAGGTTTATCTATAAATATATAAATAGAATAATAAAATACATAAAAAAATAATGATGAGTAAATTATAAATATTTCTTATAAGAATAATAATGAACAAATTAATCAAAAAATTTATATAAGTCCAAGAAAAAGTAGATAAGAATCAATTTAAAATAATCTTCCTATTTTAAATGATAATTTAGAAGAAAAAAATTATTTGACTGATATTTAAAATAATAATTATGAAACTGATATTATTTCTTCAAATAGAAATTCAAATTTTTTAACAGAATAAAATCGAAATAGTGATTATTAATAGAATTTAATAAATAATATAGCCTTTAAACATGAAAATATAATTTTTTAAAATGAAATAGTACCTTCATAAAGAAAATCTATTCCAGAATAAATAAAAAAAGATTCTCTTAATGAAATTTAATAATAATTTTTGGAAAAGAAAAAAATAAAATAACAAGAAACAGATAATAATTATAATAAACAACTACTTAAAGGTCAATAATAATTTAATAATTCTGAAATTTAAAACTTATCTGCTTTATAACTGTAATAAAATAATAATACTAAATAATAAAATTAATAAGAAAGTGTTAAGGAATAAGTTTTACTGCTATAAGAAAGATTAGGATCTTTATCTGAGATTAAACCCAATTTAAAAAAATAAGAAAACATAAATATAAATAATAATGAAACTTTTGATGATAATGATAGTGATTATTAACATATAGATAATCAATAGCATTTA